TCCTGCTAGATCTGTAAATGAAGATAGCTGAATACTAGCTAAGAAACAATAAAAGATCTAAACTTCAAATTATCTTAATATCTTCAGTGGGGTTTATTGGTGTATTTTGTTCTTAATTAGAAGGGAATCAAGCAATAGTTTCAAATGATATGCTGTTCATAATAGGTAAAGAAAATGGTTAAAAGTACTGTGACAGCAATATTAAAAGAAATCTTAAGAAAATGAATGCTGCCAACTCAATCACAATTGTACACCTGTTTAAACTTTTTCCTGTTTGCACATACATGTGTTTTTTACTTATTGTAATTATAACAATATAGTTTTTCACTTAATTTCAAACATTTTCCTTTGTTACTTAATTTTTGTAAGGGCTTCAGGGAATATACTTTTTTGGAGGGAATAGACATTTAAAATAGAAATCAATTTAATACTTGATTTATAGAATTTTATAATAATGAATGGATAACTGTAAGTTTCGAGTTGAGAACTATTTTTTAAAACACCCAGGAAATAAAAGGCAGGAAATACATTCCTTTTTCCAGTTCCACTTCCCATTTAATCAATTTACCATTTGGTGGCTATCTTTCTAAAGATTGGGAATGGATATTGTTATAGCATGTGACAAAATGCCATGAACAAATAGTCACAAATATCCTATCGAGTAATTAAAACACACACACACATTTATATCTAAAATACTTGCAAATTCGTTTTAATTTTTAACACATGATAGTAGGGAATGAAACGGCTACCTCACCATTGTAACTGCATCATAGATAAAATTGTAAAGTTCCTCTCTCCAAAAAGGTAATCAATAAATATTTTTGAATAAATGAATGAGTCTTCATTGAGGTTTTTTGTGCACCTAGAATAAAGTAAATGGAATTATTGAATAGTTGAAAAAGATTTCCAAGTAGCCAAACTACCTGTAATGCTATTAGTGCTTTGTGATATGCTAAGTACCTCATTACTTGAAGTATTTAGGATTACTTTTGTGTAAACATCTTTCAGTGATGCCTGTATTCGATGTGAACATATAGATTTATAGTAGGCTATAGTTATATAAAATATCAACCAAAATAGTTGTTAAACAAATAGTTCTTTGTTTCTCCCATATCTTATCAATCATCATTAAACCAGGAAATGTTTAAGGATTGGAGTTTCTTATTAGGTTAGTGAGAGCATTAAGTGTCTCATGGAACACTATTCTGTGAGATACTCTAGGGAAAAGATTTTGGATCATATTCAAACTCATTCTCCATTCTATATTCCCGGATATTTATAATACATATTAATATACTGGAATTGCTGAAGAAGTTCTGTAAAGAAACCTATTTTAACTTGGTTTAACACTCAGTGTTCCAAATATATTTGAAGAGGGTACCCCTTTTTCCAGTTATACCTATTATCCTGGAAAACCAGTGTTTCACAGAAGTGGTGTTCTGTAGACCAGAATGAATTTGGACCAACATGATCCTGAGACAAATAGGAATCTCAAGGAACATGTCTTAGGTAGTTCCTTAAATTCTGCATGGTCCAGAGATTCTCTAGACTGGGAATGACCACAGTCTTAGAACCAAACCACTTGAATTCCATATTCTCTCACTCCCTTACCGTTCTTTTCTCCGTCAGGGTACATCACCCTCTAGCTCTTCTGATTCTCTCCTATACACCTGACTTGACTTCCTTTCCTTTCCTTTCTAAAGAAATGGGGCCTATTTAGAATAGCGTCAGGTTTTTTCTTGAGCCCTTAATGTGTGTCATATCTTATGCTAGGCACTGGGGATACAGCAGTGAACGAATCAGACATGACATTATTATTGTGTTCTCTCTCTTCTTTGCTTCATCCATGAGGGAAAACCCCAAATTCTTAATGTACCAAAGCTTAACTTTCCAGCACTCAGAGCTCTCTAGGTCCTGGGTTTGGAAGCAGCTCAAGGACCCTTTAGGTTAGTGGCTGAAAGGGACACAGAAAAGAACTTGTTGACTACATGACAAAGAAAAAGGGCTTCTGTTATAGGCTGTAGTGGGAGAAGAAGCACAAGGAAGTGTTGGGAGTCAAATCATTATTTTTGTTTTTAGTGTATGGGCCAGAGGATTAAATTTGGTGTCTTATCAAGGAAAACTGTCAACATTGATGCTAAATCACTGGAGAACTTTCAGAGTGAGGAGAAATAAAGCTGAGAATTGGTTGGACTAGGTTAAAGATCAATGTTTATTATAGTCATTTGTATGAATTGTTTAGTTTTACAACAGCATTAGGTGTGTTCAGCTTTCATGATTTGTTGATTCTGTTGGCAAGGTCATCGGCTAATAGATAATTGGATTTTTAGAGCTTAAAAGGACCTCGTAAAGATTATGTAGCATCATTTGCTCACAACCTAAAAATTTAGAGAAGCCTAGAGTTTCTGGGTGTGGTAATGTTATTGGGTTTTTACTTGGGATTTTTCTCATATCTTTCTGGAGATTCATGCTTAAGTCTATACCACTATTATATTCACAGCATTTTGTTAAGCTTTCAAGGAGGTGTAGATTCAGAATTGGAAATTAAAAAATATATATATTCCTGATACAGAGCCTTTGAGGGAGATGCAAATGTGTTTTGAATGTTAAATTTACTTAGATTTAAAAATACATATCTTCAAGCAAAGTTGCCATGACAACCTTTCTTAATGTGTGTATAAATTTTATGTCTGTCTCTTTGAGATTTTCATCTTTTCCAATACAGGGTTTAATCACAAGAATTGGTCACTGTGGTATATTTCTATCTGCATGGTGCCTTATGGGAATTATATAATTTGGGGAAATGCAAATCAAGCAATAGGACAGTTCTATAGCATAGTGGTTCCACCAAAATAAATGTCATCTGGCTCTCTCCATGATCAGAGATTGATCTGGTTTCAAACCTAAAATGAAATTTTAGATAGAACCATGAGTCTGTTCTGAGTTTCTGGGGTTTTTTGTTTGTTTGGTTGGTTGGTTTTGTTTTCTTATTAAGAAGACTTATAGGAGAGCCCTATAGGAGGAAGTTTGGGAAATTCTGGACCAAATCTTTTGGTCAGCCCCAAACTGACCCAGTCCACCTGGGATCATCTAAA